AATTGAGTCACAAGCGCGAAAGCTCGCGATGTTTAACGTCTGGCTCCGGACAGTCTGAAGACTGCGATCATAATACTACATACAAAGGCTGATAAACAGTCGAAAGCATTGTCAATGTACTTTAACATCTTACCGTATAAAGATATGTCATCCCCAGTATGTACTGTCATCTCGATAATTTATATTTTATACAAAACGGCATGCTCATAAAAATGTATTGTTCAAATAGAGTTGTAAACAACCAGAGTCTCCTAAACTGCTTTGCCGCTCATCACTGGAAAATACCTTTGTCCATACCTGAAGTTGTATATCCTTTGAACCTTTGTTAGAGTGTAATGTAGTAAACCCTTTCTATCTTGTTGTCCACTTTGCCAATTTACGCAGCCTTAGTCCAATCTTCAACACAATAGCTATAGACTTAAGCTTTATTCGTATCCTCCTCATCACGTGATGTATGAATCGTGTGGTACCTTCTTTCTCAGTAGGACAATGCTTATAAACAACGTCTAAGGAGTATGTTAAACCTAGAACAAATCTATTGTGCATACAATTTAGTATTGTCTCTATAAATGCACAGTCTGTGCTAAACTGGCACATTCAATATAAGAAGCAGTGGTAAGTCTCTCGATAAAAGTTGAGAGTGCATGAAATATGGACAACAGCGCACCAGAGTACAACAGGAGCGTCTTTCACGCGAGCGTGTGATAAAAATGTAGTACCCAATTGCAGTTTGAATCTAGTAATGGATGCGGCGTTAGCGGATATCACGAACTTTTTGGGTAGACTAAGTACAAAATAGCTGAGGAGTATCGTAGGGACAACGTCTTGCAAGCGTTGCGATGAAATAGGGGTATCTATGTGGCTGGAATGATTGGCGTACGGAAAGCATAAACTTCCCAAATAGGGAATATTGCACATGTATTGTATCGGATGCGAGCGGCTCACAATGTTATCTATGCTGTCAGTTATGTCTGTGCACAAATCAGGTAGCGAGACTTGTGGACAGTTGACTTTTCTTATTCGACGATGAGATGAGAAATTAAGTGGCAAGCTGCCAATTGAGACATTGTCAAATCTACTACCAAGGAATATCGGTGGATACGACGTATTGTTGAGAGAAATTGCAACATGAAATTACGATATGAAAATCAGAGAAGTCTGTCTACCTTCGTCAGCACGCAAACTCGCACCAACTTGGATGTGTGCAATTAATGTAGCAAGGGGTAGTGCCTTTACCGATTCGTGGTAATTCAGCATGCAGCCATAACGCAAAATCCTCATTGTACTCGAGGTTGATTGCAATCGCGAAATAAAATCAAAGCTCAAAACAGAAAATTGCATTTTGACTGACCTATGCTATTTTTTATTTGGAAATCTTCTCTTAGTTCTTGATGACACAACGGAGGACTGGGAATGTGTCCGAAAACGCGAATTTTAAGATAGAACATTGCGGATTATAAAGGTTAGCAAATTGGAGGCTCGCCGCCTGAAAATGGGCGATTAAAATCGGCGTATTTTTCTGAACTCTCTGTCAGATACACCAATAGATCACTCGGTAGTCTACAGCGTCCCATCCGTGTCTGAAAAACTCAATATTTGAGTCGAAATTCTATAGGATGGTTGGGTAGTTGACTGTTCATCATGTCGTCGCTCATCCGAAAGCAATATAGACACAATATATTATTGCCGACCTTTGTACCGCCCCTATCAAGTGTTCAGATTCCAGAATTGATATGTACTTTTTCGCCCATTTAGCATTTAAGATCGGTATAAATAACATCAGATTGACTTTAAAATACCGTATCGGTTCGAAACAAGACAGCATACTATTTTATTGGAACGCATTACACCTTGAAAATAGTTGTATACCTCGCTTCATTCAAAGGTACCTACATGCTATTTTTCACATGCAATGTGAGGCCTCAGTATGAAATATGTATTAAAAAAAACAGTATTTGATGTAATTCATACGAAAGAAAAATCCGACTACGCGTAATACGAGCGACAGCTGGTATGTATATATATACACTCGAAAACAAAGCTCAATCGCAGCACCTACCAATGTAGGAATGTCACTATTATTGGGGTCGAAAGAGGTAAATGATATCACATCAACGTCGATCTTAAATACTACGCTTTATACATATTTAAGTCGAATCATCTTTTACAACTAAACTTGTGCATAAACGTGTAGTGAGTGAGGTATTTAATGAATAGGTTATCAAATGCCCATATAAAATTTTTCCTCAATACCAAATAGTAGTCCTTTTGATTCTAAGACGAAACACACGTCACACTTGTATTTCTCCCTGCCCCCTAGCCATTTGTTGCGCATGTTGTGTAAATGAAGTTAGGGCGCCGAGGTGAACGTAGTAAGCAGTGGGTGGCTTTAAAATGGGATCAGTAAGGTCTCGATCGAGAATTTAGAATATTTGATAGACAATGTTTCAGATTGTCAAGGAAAATAAGGTTTATCGCCATGTCTGCGTAATTTAAAAGTTGTACAATTATGTGACAAGCACATTATTGGTCAACTTTTGAATTGGGATTCAGGTACACGAAAAAAAACGCTTTTGGGTAGGTGCAAACTCTTGCAACAATGATCAAGTTTATAAAGTCAAGGGCTCTTGAATTAGTGATAGGCTATGGTATTTACACATAAACGCACAACAATGAAAGCGATTCTAGTGAGCACTCAGTACATCGATTAAATCGTTTCACGTTCAAACTTTTGGGTAGGTAATGTATATCAAGTCAATTAATGGTTGAATATCTAAACATGAGATTGCAAAGCACATATGAGTACTTAAGAGTATACTCACATTATTGTTTATACTGCACTATAATCACTATGTAATGATTAGATAGATACCTACATAAGTGATGGAACAAGGAATGATTCAATGGCCAGATCTCATAAAGCTTTTTTTCATGGAAGCTTGGTTCGACCTAACATAGATGCAGTAGTTAGTGGATAAACTCGCGCTGGTCCATATAGATTTTCGTCGACGATGATTTTGTTGCTGCCATAGCCTTTCCAACTACGAAGAATCTTGCTAATATACTTTAAGCAAGTAAACTGGCACATAAATGATAAATATACCTTACAACGAGTTTAAGCCGGCCACCATATCCAGTTGTAAAAACGTTTTGCACAATGCAGTAACTTTGCAAGCGTTCTCTTTCTTGATTGCTTGTGTAAACATCCGACATATCGCAGATAATATATCATAAACCGAATGGTGAGGCTCACTTATATATTCGGTCGCAAGCGCTTCAATCATGCCTCACTTAACACAATTTCAAAGGCCGAGTATGGTTTCCACATCAAAGTCCGAATATTGACAATCACAAGTATTGTCACAAATACAATGATGTGTTGTCAATATTATATATGATTTACGAATTATGGCATTAGACTGCCAGTTTGAAGAACGAACAGCCAATCAATGGAATATACTCTGACACCAGTCCCGTCCCAACCGAAGTCAGTTTTTTACAGTGATCATATAGCTGAGAATATCAATTCGAGGTTTTGACTAAAAACAATATGATTTCGGCGTACAATCTGCGCACAGAAAAATAAAGGTACATATTAGGCATATTGAAATGCCTTCACTACACAGGTTCTGCAACTTAAGAAGAAATATTGTACGCTAAATCTACAATCAAAATTTTCGAAAAGCTTAGATCCACGCGAACGATGACAAGATTTCAAATGTTTGGGCCCCTATCAAATATCAATGTATATATAGTAAATATCTGCCCAGATAATCTAAATATATCGAGTCATACTTTTTATGACCCTATTTTTTATTAAAAATAAATATAATTTGCGATAAGGAAAGATTATCTTGAAAGTCCACGCGAAGCTCGCTCAAATAATATTAGGGCGTTCTATTGTTCTCTAATTTCTCATCTTGAAGGGTTAAATGATGTCAAGAAAATAGTGTCGAGCTGCATCTGTTATTGTTTGCTTCTTCAAAATATTTTTCAAGCGAGGAGTAGAGAGAGATAAGATATGAAATTATATACGTCAACGAGTGTGTGAAGATCAACTTGCTGCGTCTTCAAAAATTTATTGATATACTCCATTTGTTGCATTGATCAATCGTTGCGGAAGTAAAGTATTCGAGACTGCCTATACGAGAGTAAAACAACTCGTCCCTCCTGCTGTAGGGTGCTCCATGATACACTTTTAAGTAAGCGAATTCTTACAAGTTTTAATGGCATTTTTGCTCTGACATTCTCATCATACAAGGTACGAGGTATATTCACGCAGCGAGTTGACTAGATAGTCATCAATAGCATATCTCTGCGCATGCACAAGTTAGTAGTGTTGTAATCGGTGTGATCCACAAATGACCATGTACCACATTTTGCTTATATTCCCTTACTCTGGTATTGCATTTCACTAGAAGTATGGCAGCATTTGGCATATAGTGGTTCCTTTTTTGTAGATAAAGATACACTTGATGGTTCGTATATAAAGTTTCAGAGCATAAACCACAGACCGCTCATATTTTAGTTCAGATAGCGGCAGTTGTATGGCTGGTTGCTTCGCTCCACTCAATTCTACTGATACGTCCGATATCATTTTGAGATACCTAAAGAAGTATAGCGTCAGCGCCTGATTGATTTTTTGAAGTTGAACAATGTTCTTGAATTGGGCTTCAGCTATTTACCTATCGCTTTTGGAATGAAAATACCGGAATTGGTTGCGGATTGAAATTCATTATTTAGATTGCTGGACGAATTTGGCTGGTCTCTATGCTTGTGCGAGTGTGAAGGTTTCACAATAGATGTCCGGTGTCTGTATACTTGCACGTGTATATTTCTGATAACAAAATTATTCTGCACAGCAGCATCGCTGAATGTGCTAGCATTGTGTTCTTGTTCGGATTCAGCTTAGGCTAGCTATATGAACAGCGAGGGGGCATCTTACTGTGTATTTATTACTCCAGACATTCCAAAACGTACCAAGCAGCAGTATTTTAGAGAGTGGTACAGACAATTTCGTTATCGCTTGCACCAACAAAGAAGGAGCAATAAGTCTTCTGTACCAAACATAGTCAAGTGTAAAGCGAACAGCATAACAAAGGGATTTGAGTTCAATAAGGAGGAACGCAGATACTTTTTATCGTACAAAACTCAGGCGATATCAACTTTTCGAACAAACAAACAACATTATGACGATTCTATTTATGTACATGTCAGATGACCAGTTACTTGCTATATAAGCGCTAGCGCAAGCACTCTTACAGATGCATCTCCTTGCATGCAGACCTCAGCTCCTCAGCATATTTGAAACTACACACGCGATATGTCACTCTCAGACGATCCTGCCTAGCAATACATATCCAGCCAGAACCCCTAGAGCCCAAAGCACCTGATGACCAAAATCACGCGTTCCCAGCCAGCACTGTTTGCTTTATCTCGTACCTCTTATGCCTGTTGAATTAATGAAACGCAGTCTCCCTTAAGCATGATTCGGCCAACCTTCTTATTCTCTTTACCTTCTTTTTCATATACCTGGATGAGAATAAATAATGAAAAATCAGTAAGAGCGCCGATGAAGTAAAAATACGATCTAATACAGGAAAAACCCGTGCAGTCATGGAGCCCATTAAAATTCGCATATATATATATATAAAGTATAAATAGATATATACATATACACACACAAACTTTCTCAAACACACACCACACAGAAATATATTGGTAGTTGTCCACGTACATGCAGAGTATACAAAGGGCAGCAGACATTCACGCCGGCATAGATTGCATTTGCACATTCCGAATATGTGACTACGTTTGAGGCATGCATAGTATACACGCAAATTTGACTATGTATTCATATACAATGAGCGATACAGATTCACACAACGTATTCTGGAATGTAAATTGAAGAAATAATTATGCAAATATGCGTATGTAAAATAACAGATATTAATGGAAGCACCCGTATATATATATATACCCTCCGTGAAATCAGTATCGCATCTGAACTTCCATGCACAATAATTCATGCAAAACTTTGAACATATACAGTCACAACAACAAGCATATACATACACACACACACACATAATCAACTGAAACAGAAGAAAGAAGACGAAGCAAAAGCGAAACCCCAACACACGCACAAGCAAACACAAACTCACGCACAATTGAAATTTGATGATTATAAACCTAAAAACACAACATATGCATAATATATATATACATACAAATAGAAATAAACACAAACAAATACAAGCATATTCTCTATCATGATAGACACTGCCATATCAATACCTACATGATCGTTAATATAAGCATGTGTGCATACTATAACAATATATAACATTATACATATTCATGATTATATTATATCAATATAAATGTTCATGTGTGCCTAAATATGTATTATCAAAATAATTAGAGACACAAATAAATCCATACATACACCTGAATTTTAAATAAAAAAAACACAGCTAAATCCATACATACATATATACATATACACATGTATATGAATAGGATACTGCATACAAACATGTGGATGTGAACACTTGAGGATATATGCCTATGTTTGTACATCTATATGTATCTAAGGTTACAATCATACTCTTAATATCACCCACACATTCACAAACGTCAACTAAATATATTCTATACACTTCACACATATATGCATACACACACACATATATATATATATATCTGCACGCATGTAAATATATGAATACAAATACATGTAAGTTATGTATATACACTGCAACTTACAATAAACACACACACACACACACACACATATATATATATATATACATCGCAAACAAAAGCACACACACACACACATATATATATATATATACAAGTTTAACTATAGACAAGCATGTAAATATTATCATAGTATCATCGTTAAAAAATCAAACACCTTGAATATATATATATATATGTACACAAGTATACACATACACACATAAACACACACAGACACAGATAGACACACAAACAAACAAACACACACACACACACACATATATATATATATATATTTACACACACACACACACACACATATATATATATATATATGCGTATATAGATCATGTATTGTTTTACGGTTATATGGTGCCTCTATATGACTGTACACACGCATGAAAAAAACCCACAATATATTCGAGTATCGAGACAACTTATAGTCCAAAAACATCTGGCAGATATGCACTGTTCCCTGTTTCACTGTATTTACACACCATATTTCGAGTAGTCAAACGACTAAAGATCAATATGTACCTGTATATGTTTTTTCGAATTATTTTAAAGACACAGTGATTCTGCAATTGCATACCTCTTCCGCCTCATCCAGTACAAGGTTCATATACTCGTCAAAGCCCATCAGCTGTCCTTCTATTCTCATGCTCGAGTTCTCGAATAACCACACTTGGATACGAGCCTTACTTTGTAGCAATCGAAACACCATATTAATAGGCAATACGATGGTCTTTTGTACACGGGCTGACATCTTGGAAGAATATTATATGGACTACGTCGTTGATTGTTACTGTTTGTGCACTATCGTCAGACTAAAACAAAGTTAAAAGTTTTGGTGGTAAGATATGTATGTATGGAAAATACTAAAAAATAGAGGATATGGTACGTGGGTTGGATGGCTGGGTCGCTGGGTCGGTGTGTATTTTCAAAATAGCGTCTGAACTGAGTGAACTCTGGAAGTGCTGGCTTTTCTCGTGGAAAGATTCAACCAAGTTTTTATTCTAGAGCGGCATTATAAACTTACTGCAGCAAAAGACCCTATTTATTAGAGTATATATATTTTAAACGTTTTTAGCTCAAAATGCAAACAATCAATATGATTCAGATCAAAAAAAGTTCCAGCTGTCTAGTTTTTTCCATTCAAAGGTACAAACTATGTTTCTAGGTTTTCCATTGAGTAAAACGTAGCGAGCTGCCATAGAATTCAGGGTTATCTATGGATAAGTTACCGCTTGGGTTTGAATATATAGTGTATAATGTACCTATAGGCTATGTACCATCTACCGTACGATCACTATCGTCTATACTGTTACATGTCGATAGGCACATAAGCATGCAATTCAACCAGGACCCAATTGCCAGAGGTCTTGCGAATGGAAACCCTGAGGATGGTGTATGGGGCTTAGTTGTGGTGGCTCTTAATCCGTTCCCAGAAGTGGCGAGGGTAAGTGTTGATGTAGGAGGCAATCGACAAGCTGCAAGAATCTTTTTCAAACCACCTTGCACGCTGTGGGAATCTTTTTCAAATCACCTTACGACATGCTGCAATATTTATTTATTTAAATACCTTACTACGCTACTTTCAATTTGCGATCTTGGTTTCATAAGAACACTTGACAGGAAAAATTCCTCATTGAACATTGTACACATAATTCACAATTCTGATCTTGCAGTTCGTAAGTTATACGAAGCGAATAATAAACGTATGAGTTGGCTGAGGGAGTCGACGTGCAAAACTGTATGTTTTAGACTATCAGTACATTGATTAATCGAAAACTGGAGATGAACTGTCCTTTTATACTCATAATCAACAACTAGCTATCGCGGTCTGTGTACTTAAATGCCACACCCCCACGAAACGAACCTAAAACTATCAAAACACTACCATTTGTTCGATGACGTGAATCTGTGTAAAATTGTTGTTTATATACTTCACAATAGAACTTTTCACATGCTTCAATATCTATCTACACGTAAGCTGATATGAAATAAGACAGTACATATCAGAATCAGCAGCAGCTGTGGCTTACGTCTTGTATTGAGCATGCAAGCTCATTTTTCTTCCACCTGCACACATATGCCAATACTCCGACACCTTTAGTTGTACTATAATCCCTATTATCACGAACGTATGGAAATCTGAGGTACATTCATAGTCGGCTCTTGCTCTGTGCTCACCGAAAGTACTGGTCAACAACATATATTTGGTGTATCTATTGCTACATAGGTATACATGATTTTCGGCATATGGATAAGCAGATTCCACCAACGCACGAGTCATATCCCAAGTGAATCAGAATCTCAATTGTGCGGTGGATGGTTCATACACCTCAGGAGCCGTACGAGGCTTTTGCGCGACAGATCAATGATATAGACAAGAACAATGCTGTGTACGTCTATCCCTTTTCAGCTCTACACTGTACCGTGGCGACGATAACTGCTTTTCATCCGACTGTCGGGTATGCTAGATGTGTTCTCACGTGTAGTGACATCTCAAGGTGTGGGTGGACTTGTACGTGTATGTTTGAAGTGTGTATGTACACGAGTGCGGTTGTGTGCTAGTGCAATTGCAAAATAGGATGTGCTACCATACGTATGAGTTTATAAATATTAGCTAAAATTTCTGTACGTGTGTATGTGTAACCGTGCAATTCACCCTTCATGAGTAGTGTTCTGAACTTTGTATTTGGTGTAAAGAAACAGTATCGGTTTTAAAACTCATCTCTAAGTTAATATCTGGTTAAATATATATTTATATAGATCAGGGTGAAACATAGCATGTTAGATCGTACCCCGTTGCCATTCTATCTGTTAAAGAATAGCGCATATGATTTTGTTTTCCAAACGTTCCTTTGTGCTATCAAAGCCAAGCGCCTCTGTGTTTAGTCTACGAAGCTTTTCTGTGGGTTTTACTACCCTACTCTATGTCTATGTCTACTCGGTATGCATGCTAATTGTGCGCTTTGTGTGCCCACATAAGCACAACAGGGATATCTCACAGCGCTTGGTGGTCGTCTAGGAGAGGCTTTGTTTCATGTCGGGTATTACTGCACGACAAAAGCTCATTCTAGCTTCTTGCATTAAGACTTGTAAGCGGATGTTGTTCTTCATCAGCGTTAGGTACCATCGCCACTTTTTGAATCTCTCTGAATGACATACACTATTACTAAATGATACGAAACGGTAAAGTCGTCTCCATATAGCTATCATTGCTTACTGTGAGAGCGTGTACCTCCATTTTGTGCAGCTATTTGTCGTCGGGCGCTGTCAATGAAAACAACAAGGAGGAGGTTATTCAGAAGCGAAATGATCTCATGCACGCTTCTCGGGTGATTTTTGATCGCGTAATGGAACCGCTAAAGACTGAAACCAAACACGACACCTACAAGTACACTTTCGGGAAACCCACCATCTCGCCGAATGCCGGTATTATGTTCCTCGGTATGTTTGTTTGACACATTCTCGTATGTAGGTAGATATCAGTATCCTTGTATGTACATCACAGCATAGCAGTCATTTTTACCGGCATATACTAATGTGATATTTATATGAAAATATGATTTTTTTTTTGGCTTCTCGTGCAGTAAGCTTTCGATCTTATGCGAAGTCTAACTTGCCTGTGATTTCGCACTTTTCATAGTTGAATGGCGCCACTACGTTCTATACATAACACTTGCCTTGGTGTTAAAAAATATTTAATTATAGCTCCCTACTTTGAGCGCCGAGTCTCACTAGTACCGACTTCTAAAACTAGCTTTAGCTTCATAATTAGTGCTTGTAGTCCTGCGCATGTCTGACGAGCTAAATAGGGTATAACTTACGCACCAGCTGCAACTATTTTAACTAGCGCGTGGCTCTCGGCGTTTACATATATACAATTGAAAAGTGTCGATCGTCGGTGACGTACACGAAGAAAATAGTTTCTAAACTATGATGAAGAAACCTGAACTTCAAGGCGAGCCCTAATAGTTTGACTTGAGTACACAACCGGTAGTTATTATTCAATGAATGCGGTTCGTATATTTTACATACTCAACGCAAGTCCTATCGAATTAATGTTGCACCAATTGGTCCGAATGCATCAAGTGCGTGCTTTTCAAGAATGAATAACCTCAAAAGTGAGCCACAGCGCATTGGCATATGTGTAGCAGCCCCAGCAGTATGACTAATAGGTGGATACATATGTCTGAACACACCACAACGCAAGCAGACGAATCCGCGGATGAAATTACTTTGGTAAGGAAACGGCTGGCAGTGGAATTCGGCATCGCGGAGGGCAGTACGATGGCACCCGAGCTGCAGGAATGTGACTATCCGACAGATAATTATATACAGCCAAGTAAGTCCCCGGACCGTGCATGGAGCGTTACATAACGCCTACTGAATATACTCATGCCTACTTACTTTTCCTAAAACCACTATGTCACAAATTACTTTGCGGCCTGGTTGAAGTTGGAAATAAAATGATCACATTCGCTTGAGCGAGTGCGATATTAAGCCAACAAAATTATGAAATTATATCTAACTACGATGCACCCAATTACACCCAGATATCAAACACACCAGTTTCTTGCGATATGTTGGTGACCCAGACGCCGAATTCGAGGCCAATTTCAAACGACTGGCGGACAAGCATTGGCACGACGTTACCTGGACATGTGATCAAGCTATGACTTTCACTTTGGCAAATGAGTTAGTCCCATACATGCACATCTCTGATGTACACAGGCTGCACAGGCGACAGTTCGGGACATAGTGAGATTGTATAGTTAATTATTTTTCACGCAGTAAACGGAGTAACGTGGTACTGCGCCAAGGATACATAAGTATTTGGATGTAATTTATTAGGTCATCGATATTTTTCTGCAACGAAGGTACATCAAATAGTTTCAGATATGGTGGGCGAACATAAACGCCTGAATCCAACTCCAATCGATGCCTATGTGTATGATTCATATGCAATGAGTATTGTTAAATGAACCGAAGAGATTAGTAATCAAATGAAAGAAAATATACCGTAACAGCTACGAACTGAGACGGGACAAGACGTAGTAACCACATAGGTTCATGCTTTGCTATTTAAAACATGGATGTATGCTCAGATGGCAAGCAGTTACATCCGAGGGCGTAGACAATGGCATGACTGTTTTTTGTGGTCGTGTGCATATATTCTGCGAACCTTGGAAAAATGAATCCATATATATATTTACATATATGAGTGAGTTTATATATATATATATTTATATGAGTGAGTTTTTCTAGCAGTTCGTAGATTTTAATTCGCTACATACATCTGCTTGCACATAAGTACATTACTAAAGCAGTTTGTATATGCACACCTGTACATCATCCGCACGAATAAGAATTGTGTGGCTTCGTGGGAATTTAAGATATAAAACATATATACTTATGTTCATAATGTACAGATGCATATAGCGTTTACCTGAACGTAAACACTTCCCCAAACTGAAACCTTCCTTTCATTACTCGTGTCTGTAAGACAGCTTAATATACCATTATATGCACACGAGGTATCCTAGCGTCTTCGATGTTCGCACAAAAGACCAAATATTCAGTGCATGTATGGATTGAGTGGCCGATAGCAGCGATAAGATATAACCGATCTTAAACCAGGTACGTGGGCAGTAACGCTTCGATAGAGTTTTGAATGTATCGCCGGAATTGGCTTTGTATTTCTTGTTATCAGAGTGCTATCTCTTTACTTGTAGTACGCACTACCTCGAAGACCGTAACTATACAATAGTCGTCTGAAGCACAATAACACGTATTCAATAAATTGTATTGAGTTATCCTACTGATTTTATGACACTATCAAATGTGACATTCGCCTGCGAGTGCCCCATGCTGTACCGAGTTCATATATTAGCACTCACAACAATATGGTCGCATGCAGTGGTTATTAGCATAAACAGCCGTGATTCACGGATCGCTTAGAGTTCTGGTGCCATATGCCAGGATGTGCCGTAGTCAAGCGCCAATTATA